TCAAAGGAGCAGTATAATTTCGGTACATGGTTCAAAGGGTCATATAATAGTCGTAGGTGATATTGTATCTATAGTGTTTACAGTTAAATTTTATGAAACATTGAAGGGCACCTGAGGTCTTCCTCCGCCAGTAAAGCTGGAACATCGCGATATAACCTATACTGTGTCGATGTGACGTAAAACCAAAATCAAAGAAACAAACAAAAAATATGAAACATTGAACAATAAAACGATTTGCAGAAAAATAATTATCAACAATCTCACCAATGGAGAATTAAAAGCAAGTACCAGGTTAAACTCTAGGTCAACTGATATCAAAGTTAAAATAAACATGTGAAATAGTGGACATACTTCTATTCTAAATTCGTAGATATAGCTCTATATAGTCAATGGTTATTGGGAAATTTAAGCTTTGTCTTGGATAGTGAATGACTAATGAACTGTAGTTGCTAGTTGCTAACGAAAATCCATGGCTGTTGTAGAAGTAACTGTTTGCTACTGAAGTTAATGGTTGCTTTAGAAGTGATTGCATTTAGGGAATTCATTGGTGGCTAAAAAAAAGCCGATGGGTGTTTCTAAATCAATGGTAGCTACCAAAATCATGGAAATGGTGTGTCAATTACTGCAATTTAAGTTATTGGTTGCTATTGAAGGTCAAATGTCGCTGCAGAACTTACTGGTTAATTAAGAAATTAAAATCAATGGTTGTTATGGGAAGTCATGGACGTTACATAAAACCAGTAGTTGTTGTGTAATTAACTGGTAGCTAAATCAATATTAATTATCAACTTCACAAAGTTTCGAGGGGATAAACCCCTCTTTATCAAGGAGTCTCTGTTTATTTTATTAAATCACATTTTTACCTTCTTGTCTTACACTATGTTTTGTATACAGGAAATCCTGTTTTCCCGGACTACTTCTCACAAACAACTGGTGCAATACCAAGTCTAGTTGTGCATACGATCGGTATTTAAATGTTCAGTGTTTTTGTCAGAGTAATAGTTCTTTAATAATTTGTATTTTATTATTTTTTAGACTTCTCCTTTTATACCACTTATGCGATATCAATGAAACTTTACAGGATTGATTGGTAGCTGAAGTACTTGCACATACGTATAACACGGGGTTTTCAATTAAATAATGTTTGGCTGTTTATGGCCCATGAATAAAAGAAGCTTGTCCGGATAACTCCTCAGAAACGACTTAGCAATTCCATCCAAATCTTACAGAAATGACCAGTACTAAGTCCAGTTGTGCATATTATTGGTATTTTAAGGTTCAATAATTTTTGTCACAGCTATGGCTGGATTATTTTGTTTATGTTTTGTTCAGACTACTTCTCTTATAATACTAAATTAATGCAATTGAAATGAAACTTTAGTATTGATATTACTTCCATTTATAAAACGGGTTTTCTGGCTTAATAATTTCTTGGCTGAGTTACCACCCTTAAAAATGCGTTTTGTCATTATTATGATTTTTGTGTCTCCCGCTACATGCAAATGACTATCATGAAGCGACACATGTAATCACTGATTGTTACAATTTATATGTTTCTTTTTTATAATTTAAAAGATAAGATTACAACAGCCCTATGTGTTAAAATATATGTTTACAGTAAAAGAGCATTATTTATTCACTGACGTGCCTATAATGTCACGTTAGCATTAGCGCGCTCTGACGTTATAATAATTTGTAATGAATTCACTACTTTAATATCAATCTTGTTTTACTGAGGCCATCCAATCGTTTTCGCAACACAATAAATTAACCTGGTGTTTCATTTCTAATATTCGAAGGTTATATGTCATTATGTTACGATTCCGTCTAGTCAAAACCTTTTACGTGAATATAGTTAAAAAACATTTTGTGACGCGCAAATATGAACGTATAGTAGATTCATTTAATATAAAATTATAAAAACTAAAATAGACATTTACTCCTCTATTTAAAACTTCGGTACGTTGCGGGTTTTAAGTTATTTGGGTAAATACAGAAATATATGAGTTTACTTATGTATAGTTTAGAATGTCAGCAGAAATATACAGAATTGCTCTGGGAAATCGAGACAGACCTCTACAGCTGATTCCCGCTACTAATTATGTTATCACATCAACCACGGCACAGAGTTAGTCTTGTCCTGACATAACACATAAATATATGTTTATATATAACAATGAAAGGGCGGTTTTCACATAGCAGTAGCAATTATTACCTCTCCAAGAAGCTCTTTTGAGAGTCATTTCCCGTTATATGCCTAATATAAGATAAAATCTCGCACATTTCTACACTGTTATAAATCTTGAACGTTTTGGTCGTATAATTATACGTTCTTTCAAATGTATAGAATAATTTGACAATGTACCTAAATCAGCTGTTTATATTTTTTTCATATTTTGTCAGTATGATATAAGGTATTGACCCCAAAAATTGCTGCCACCTTTGGCAGGGGATGTAAATATTGTAAAAATCGGAAAATATTCTTAAAAATATTAAGGTAGAGAAAACTGTTCAAATTTCGTTAGTACTGCTGTATGGATGGCGTTCGTTGCTAACATTCCAGACATATAAAGTGTTCTTTTTTTGAAATGCGAATGAGTATGCCTAGAATTTATTACTCTATCCGTGTACTGCAAATAATATGCATCTTAATCCAATCAACGAACGCCCTCCATACAGCTAATCTCGTCTTTTTAATGTTAAAGTTTAGGATCTGTAAGTTAGTGTTTACTTGAAATCCTATAATTCAAAAAGATTGTATTGTTGGCTGAATATTAAATCTTTAAGATGTGAATGAGATATAAAACAAAACTGAAAAGTCACTTGTCAAATCTCAAATTATGTATATGGCCAGTTTATATCTGCAATAACTTTGTCAGATTAGAAGCTAGAAACCTGAAACCTAGAACCGTGTGTGAATGTCATCAGGAATAGGCATATTCTAGCGTCGATATTTTATATGTGATCGACAAATTTGATACTTTCAAAACACGAATACGAAATAGCGTGTATGTAATGAATAAGCAAAAAGTATGTTTTAAATTAGCAAACAATATCACACATGTACCCCAGGCTAGGCATATTCATAAATAGCATGCGTTCGTTATCAATATACTTGACTATGTATGCAGTTTGTAAATTACTTAACCATTTCGCTCCTTTTAATTAAGTGTGCAATTTGTAATTCTATCTAAAATTATTCATAAATTTAGAAGAAGAAGACGAATCTTGTTATAGGTACATACACTTACACATCGCGTAATATTTAAACGTTCTAAATGTTAAATTTTTGTAAATACAAGTAAATACAAATATATTGAAGAACTAGTCAGCAAAATACATTTCAAGTTTATAACTGTGTTCAGCAATTTACTAGATTTATTTCCGATTAACACATTTTCAATAAAATAAAAAAGTTAATACTTTTACATAATTTATGTATTTGTATGCAATATTTGATTTCCTTTTAAGAGTAAAATGATCTAATCTATTCAAATTTTATTTAATTGCAATAATTTGTTTCTGAAGAAAGCTTTTAATTGTATTTGACACTTAAGTTTACATGTGTATTCTTAAATGTAAACAACTAAATAAGTGACATACTTAGAAAATGGAAATATCAAAATACTATTATATTGCATTCGATGAATTATTAAAATGTTTGTGTAAATTTGAAAGAATTTGCTGAGTCTATAATCATTACTCATTTTTGTTATCATTGCGCTTGAGATGTCAAGTACCTTTATAATCTGAGCACGATAACAGAAGTTTCATCATATTTATTTATGGTACGGAACAGAAAATTTTAGTACCAGTTAGGTTAAAAAAAACGTCCTTATTGAATGTACGTTTGACTGATAATTGTAAACGTGAGTAATAAATGCCGCAAAAGCTCAGTCAGTAGAGTTCTTAGCTTGATAACGGACTTCAAAAAAGGTTTGTTTTTTTCTTTACTCCGCATGTGAGAAACTACATTATAATAATGCGTTTTTATTTGATGTATTTTTTATCTATGCTCCTTTTAAATTAATAATATTCATCTCATTTATTCCACCTTTCTCTTCTTTTATTTCTTATCATAAATGTTTAAATATTTTAACAATTTTAAAGAGAGACAAAAATACAATATCTTTAAGTTCATATGGGCCATCATATATTGAATAGTCAAACATGCGTAATGTTTTAAAGAATTTAAACTTGCATAATAAAGAAACAGTTTCTACCAGGCTTCGAACCCACTAGCTGAATTCACTTTCATATAAATACGGCGTCTTACTTACTATTCTATTGAGTCAAACTAAGATAGCATCTCATAAAATATAATGCCTATAACCTGTGTTATGTTTATCGTACTCAGATTTTACCATATTTTAAATTAACATTAACGACATGCTTCCGAACATATTCTCTGTCAATAAACTAACTTTTATTAATGACCAGCAACAACGAACTGCTTTCTTTTATTTTTGTTCTCATGTATTTCATCTGATTTAGTTTATCCATGATAAAATTTCCACTCCAGTTTGTACAAGACAACATGTCTGCTATCGTCGGTGCCCTCTTGGATGTTTCAGGATCGATGCACAACAGTTTTGGAGATGGTGTAGAAGAGGAAGGCGGTACATGGGCACATTCTATTTTCAGAGTAGCTGACGATCTTGTTCAGTATGATATATCAGAATCAAATCATGTTTTTGTCGTTGGATTTGGGGCAAATAATTCCGTGCATGCAGTCGATATAATTACAACGCTTATGAACTGCAAGGCACCAGAAGATGAAGGCAATGAGATCCCGTTGTCATCTGCGGATGTTTCAAAATTCAAAATTTTACTATTTCACGTTTAAATGTTGAATTCTGCTTGCCGGTGCTAGGGGGCGTGGACGGTAACTTGCACTTTCCAGTACCGTCCATGAACAGGCTCAATCAAACCGAGCCTGCAACATTTTCAATTTTGCCGTGTTGGGCTTTCTTTAGGGATTCTGTACTTATCTATTGTATAAACGAACCTGCGTCCCATTCAACAATTGAAAATATATTCAAGATTCTTAAAAATAAGGGTGCGTACACGATTAGAAAGTGGGCTGAGGCAGATACCGTGAGAAATGTAGTATCGGAATATCTAGCGAGAATAGTTTTAAGAAAATTAAAATCAGACCGACATTTTACACGGTACTTTGTAAACAACTGTTTACCAGCTGCCTGTAGAAATTTGTCAGACAATAAACTTGTAAAAGGCGTACAGTCAATGTTTGCATCTTTTGCTACATCTGTCGGCGGACAAGCATCGCAAAAAGACATAGAAACTGTTCTTGATAAGGCTCTACTGAAACGTGTTAACGATCAGTCAGTATACAGTGTCAAAGTGGTTTCAGATGTTCTTCATGGAAACATTGAAGAAAGCGATCTTACATCTGAGAGAGTGCACGAGTTACTGCAACTTGTTAAACCATTCATCTATGGAGGGACGCCTTTGTATTCTGCTTTGAATGAAACGGTTGCACTTTTCAACGGCAATATTGACAGGTATCAAAGTCAAAATAATTTATTATTTATCCTCTCAGACGGAAAACCTACGGACACGGATGAATTCAATATAAAATCACATTTTGAAAGAAAGAACGTTACAATCGTAAGCTGCTTTATTTTAGCGCTATCAGGTGTTGAACCTCAGAAATTATATAGCGTTTCTGAAAGTCATTGGGCTAATGGGGCACAAACTCTGTTTAAATTGAGCTCGTTCATTCCAACGTCGTACATTTGTAGAGCAATGTTCATAAAACACAAGTGGAAGATTGACATAACTGACGATGAAACAAGACTTTTATGCACGTGAACCATCCGGACAACGTGAAGAGTATTTGTAACCTAGCACGCAATGCGGTTTGTTGTCAAGATTCTTTATCAGAATTGCTTGTGTCCGTCAGCCTAGATATATACATTAACGACAAAAATCGCTCAGTGAAAGTGTATAACCAAGAAGATGGCGGAACTTGCTATTCTCATGCTGCTGCTACCGTCCTTCATCTGGCTATGCATCGGATTATCGGACGCGAACACGGATATCCTACATTTGAATTTCTTCGAGATGAAATGATCCGTCGCCACGGTAAACACGGTGCAGATACTCTGCAAGTTCTTAAAGAAATGTGTCCCATGTATCGTTTGCGTTGTCGGGAGGTTGACGTTCACGGTGCAATGAAAGCTGTTACAGAGAAACGTCCAGTAGTCGTCAAATTCCGGCTTACGGACTTGGATTGGGATACGTTTTACGAGTTTTTCCGTTTGACACCTGCAGGAATTTTGAAAAAACGAGATCTTGATATAAATCGTACGTCACACAGTATGTCGGGACATGCAGTGGTTTTGACAAGTTGTAACAGTAAATGTCTACAATTAATGAATTCGTGGGGAGAGAGATGGGCTGATAACGGTTTCTTTAATGTACAGAATGCGGAGGTTCTCGGGATGGAGTTTATCGACGTCTACTGGGACGAAAGCGATCTTTCTCAAAGCGAGAAAACTAGGTACACGCAATTTGGAACTGAGGTTGCTGATAAATTGATGAAGTCGCTATCAGCATTGCAGATTGCAACATTCGTTTGCCCGAAATGTAAGAGAACATCGAATGTCGACGACTTCTCAGGAAGACTCACACGAGTCCGCTGCCCACAATGCAAACGAACATTTTCTAGCTTCGACGGTAAAGGGAATCTATTGGCACTAAACATTTACTTGACATCGTTAAGCAGGTAAGCACTTTATAATTTTTGTTTGCATATAAGAAAATAAATAGTTTAAGTATTTTACGTATTGTGAATAGTTACATAATATTCCGTTTTCTCTACCATATATCACATAATACTTATTTTGTAAGCATCTTACACTTACATATTTTGATTTCTTGATTTTATTACATTATATGCTAATGCACAGACGCTTATATATAATTTTATATTGTTTATATTAGACAGGGATGCGATTCATATCGAGTTGAAGAAGATCATTACAGTTTTCATCGTACATTTTCTTCACTATTATTATTAGTGTATGAATCTATAAGAGACTTTTAAAATCTAACGTTACAATGTATTTCTTTATTAATACACACTGTTTTGTTGCTGTTTTTATAATGCATGATCTGTTAAAATAAATTGACAATCTCATGTACCGATATCGTATTGTATTGTAAGATTAAGTCGCTGAATATTTTATGTACCATCTGTACATGCATAATTTTTATCTTTAAATTTCCTATTATGAGTGTTTCGTAGGGATATGTTTCGGATGATAATAATGATACATGCACTTTTTATACACATAGATAAAATGTGCTAATTGTACTATACAGAGAGAGCGTGGTTTTAACTGTACATAAAGTATGATAGTTATGTTTTAATCATAAATCTAAAACTATCATCAAAGCTTATAATTCATCATTGTTATCGAATACCAATATCTTTATTTTGTATATCCATGCAAATTGGGATATTAATTCATCACCACAGAATATGTAATGACTAAACAAACATGTGTTTATTTATGTGAGCAGATCTTCAAACCTATGAGGACTTCACCTCTTAAATGTAACAGACACCTTAAAAGCACATTATGCCTTAGAAACAAATGATTGTTTAATCTTTAGAAAGGCTAAAGATTGATTGTATAATGTTTAAGGAACGTTAGATGCTTGTTACATGGAGAAAGTACTGATAAAAAGAAATTATTTGGTCATAAAAGTAAGCAAAATGTTTGCAAAGTAGTATTTTGACTTCCAAAGAAAATACTATTTTTTAACTGTACTTATTGCTAAAAAGCAAAAGATGTAATGGATGGTTCAGGAAATTGTCCAATGAGTAAATTTTTGGATACTATTAAACAAACACAACAATTAAAAAAACTTTTGATGAGGAAAAGTAAAAAGATTTTTGTGACATAATGGGTCTTTTATTAACAATCATCAGCGATAAAAGTGTTTATTGACAAATTTGTTCATTTATTGGTTTGATACTTTATTTGTATACATGTAGTTCTTAGAAATGAAATATCTTCAATAACATGTGTTTCGTTTGTAACTCTTCCAACAGCCTATTTTTGTATTAGTATAAATTCCATTGTTCTTTGAGTCCAAGAATTTTTATTTTCTCATGTATAATGATCCTGATTCAAACTAAAGATTATGAATTACATGCATTTAAATGGAGCAAATGTTTTTAAATGCAAGGGTAGATAACTCGAAAACAAACAAACTGAAACTGTTTCTTTTGCAAAATACAGACATAATTATTCTGTTCTGCAGTTTTCATTCCGCCTGTATGTCTTATAAAACTGTAGCTTAAGATTTGAATTCCCATTTTGAAAATCAAGTTTAATATGAAATATAGATTGAATCTAAAATAATGCACTCCAACCCTTATATTTTTACTAAGGGGGTATCCTTTTTTCCGATATTTACAAAAAAAATCTTATTTAAGTTTTTATGAGTTTTTTTTTCTAAAATGAACTTGCGAATTTCCAAGAAGTCATGAAATAGGGTCGTTTAAAGTATCACTTTGATGCCAACCTAATCTCTAATTCATTTCCTTGCAGTTTGTTTAATATGTCTAAAATAATCGAAATGTCGAGTTATGTAATACAGAGTGATAAATATTAAGCCCATCAGAATTTGTTTTTATGATAATAAAATGACATAAAGTATTTTTATAATGATTGTTTTAACTAATGAAAATTAAGCAAGTTCATTGGAAACAATTGAGACTTTTAAATGTTTGAAGGCACAATTATCCGATTTTATAAAGCGAAAAATCTTATCATTATTATAATAAACCATTTTTGTTATTTTATAAAGTGTAAATGAAATAACACGTGTCAGTTGAGCAATACAATTTTTTTGATATATTAAGATATCCAATATGTTACAAGCAATACAAATTTCTGACGATATATACAGACATATGTAATCAAACACATGTACTTACATGAAAATACGCCACACAGATAAATAAAATATTTTTCAAGGAACGTTAAGAGCTTGTCGCAATAAAAACGGCCGCAAAAAATCCTGCAGATCAATCTAAAGATAGAAGAGAGCACACACGAAATGATTGGCGATTCACCTAAAAAGTATCATCAGATTTTGTGTTTGCTTATTTTATTACTAGAATGGATAATTGGGTTTCTATTTACATACATAATCTTAGAATATATGTCATTAAACAAGGAAATGCAGAAATTTTAACACGTGTGGTAATTAGCCAAATTACGCTATTTTGAAATTGATTCTAATTCAAAAAAAATATTTTAATGATAAATGGTTTAATTAAACATATTATGCAATTATGAAATGAGGATTGTAGTATATCTTGTTTTTATTTCGTTTCTTTGTGATTTCTGCTTTAGTGCACAAATCTGTTTACATAATGGAAGATGCCATTACAGAAAATTATACTGACGCTATTTTTGTTTGTCCCTAACCCCTCCGTCATTACCTTACTACAGCAATCCCGAGTCGAAGACCTCAAGCTCGACAAAAACATAAGGAAGACGAGAAAACGGTAAGCTAATTATGTGAAACATGTAGAAAATGTAGGAAGTTTACACCTTTGAACTATTTGTAAATGCTTTTACTGAATGCTTGCACGTTCTATCTAAGGTTTTCGGTGAGTTACAAACGTTCTGACGATCGTTACCCTTAAATACGATGAGGAAATATTATCCTCATTTTTTCTCTACTTAAACAAAATGTTGTGTATAGATATTTACGCATGTACATGATCTTTATTATAGTCCTATCTTTTAAATGATTAACATATACAAAAATCGACATAAACAATACAAGATAATTGGACGTCTAATTGGAATGAACACTACATTCCTCATTTACAAATATTTACTACTTTTGCTCAAATTTGGGAAATAAGCACTGATGCTGAGTTTTAGCTTCTGTACAGTTTTTTTCTCTTAGTTTTAAAGAAAACATGATAACAATTTTCGAACTAGTAATTAGGAGGTATGTGGTATTCGTGTGTCGAGGAGATGGTTTCAGGTCTATGTTCAGAGCACATTGCTTTCCATAATTGATCTTATCTGTCAAATTATTGAGGTTGTTAATAAATGGGAGTATATTTATCAAAAATGAATCTCAGATCGTGTATTCATATTTGACATGAGATGTCGTCGGTTTATCAAATTTTTGCTTTTCTTATTTCTATAGGCTATGCGTATATTTTTGGTGTAGATAAAGCTTAACTTTCAAGCATACTTGATACGGAACAAAAAAAACATGTAAATAAAGTTAACACAAATGTAAATAAATAAACCTAGTGAATATTTTCTTTATTGTCATTAATTAAAAAAAGAAACAGATGCAGCGTCATTCTAATTTTCGCCCCGCGACCCGCCATTTGAACTTGTTTATCCTCGACGGTAAAAGTATCTAATATTTAAGATCAACCAATAAACTTTTTAAAAATTTAGGGAAACTTTGAAAACAGGCACTCATTCGGATAATTTTAAGGATTTTTTAAATTAGGCTCCCTAACAAGGAAAGTGGTCAAACATGTGTTATAAATGGGTGGTGTAGGGTCACATTTTTATACATTTTTTATAAATTTTGAGTAGAAACCATAATTTTGTTTATGTTGATTGTTAGCTGAATAGTACTATTTGTTTCTTACCAAAAATTAATGGTAAAACGTTTTCATTAGAATGTTATTGCAGATTATTAAAAGCTGCATGCCTCCAGATAAGCGAAAATATTTCAATGAAATCAAACTTAAGAAAAATTTACAAAGACTTAAGGAAAAGTAAACTATTCAAAATTTAAGTAATAATTTACATGTTATGTGCGATTAATGACTGTTTATTTCAATATGTATAACTATATTTCTACTGCGTTACTAAGTAAGTAAGGACTATTGTGGCATATTTTTGTTTCTTATTTTAGTAATTTACGTGGGTTGTAAGTGCCATTGATAATTTGTAAATTGCTTCCTTTTGGTAATTTCACAAAATTATACTTTTAAACACATTTTTTTAATTTTCATGAAAATAAGCATGAATCTGGAGGCGTGCTGCTTTAAAGGTTATTCATTTCTGAAAAAAGGGCCCTCATACACCCTAGCTTCAGTTCATAAAAGTGGCCATAACTCGATTTCCGTACGGTAAAGTTTGTTTAAATTTTGCATACAGGTGTACTTTAAGGTATGTATCTGACCTATGATATTAACTTTTCTTTTCCTAATAGTGCCCGTTAGGGTGGTTTTACCTTAAATCTCGCCTCGCGCCACCGCGGGGAGAAGACTTTTGTGTAAAACTTAGCCCAGCGCCCCCGATTTTAACTTGTTAAATCTCGTCGTTTCGCTTTGCAGGTCGCGGGACAAAAACTCGAATGGCACAAAACAGCCACCATAGTATTAACATCTTTTAAAGAATTGATATTTATTATAAATTTATGTGTTAACTTTTCTTCTTATTTATTAGCATTTTTCCTGGTACGGTCAAGGTAGTTTCATTTTCAGTTTTATTTACATTGTATATGCGTTACATATAAATAATTCATCTGCGCATGCGTAGTTATTACATCGATCATGTGAGATGGAGTTGCTAGCTTGAGTGTTTACGGGTAGGTTTCTTTATTAACTATATTTCATTTTCATTTTCTTCACAACCGCACTCATTTGTTCTGTTTTTTTTCCAAAATATGTTCTTAATCAATTTGTAGTACAAGCCCAATATTTATTTTTTTTAACTTAATGACATAATACAAATTTTATAAAAACGCTGAAAGAGTTTTTAAAGGTTGATTTACACTAGGTCATACCAAAATTACCTCATATTTTGTGAAACCTGGTAGTTTTACTAGGTTAAAAAATAACGTGACAGCCTGGTTTAGATTGAGCCAGTTCATGAACAAGTTCAGTGGTAGCTACTGTCAAGGACACACCTGTTTAAAATCAGATTTCTTTTTTACATTTTTTTTCATATTAAATATCCACCATATTGAAGAATACAAAATGGTAATATGGTATAAACTATGTTGATTTATGACCGATTAGATTTAATTAAATATTTGAGTTAAGGTAGAGATCACGTTTTATTTATTTTGTGAATTTCAAGGTACACGGAAAATTGTCTGTAAACGTCTTGATAAGCATAGATGTTTAGCGGGGTTGGTACTCTCGGTGCCTTAATAGGCGGATGCACCCTCATTAAGCCTATAATGCATATTATTTATAAGCGGCTTATGCATCTGCAGAACTAACTTAACCTTTGAAAATTCAACTGAATATTGTAGAATCGTAAATTTTTTCTCTTTTCAAATAATATAAATATACGCTAACTCAGTGCATGCGTACTTTAAATTTTATAGTAAAATATAGTTCAATTCAATACATTTAAACGAAATCAGATATAAAAAGGTTAGTAATTCAGTACTTTGCTATATATTTTCTGTTCATTGATATTACAGTCGCCCCCCTCCCCTACTCATATCAAATCTAGTGGAATGACTTAACAATAATATACAAGTGATTTTGACTGATATATGAACGCAATAAAATCAAATTCGCCAGGTATAGATAGGTTTGCACCTAACACGTTTTAAAAGCGAGTTTTTTTTTCTTTTTTTCTGTTTTTTTGTGTTAATATCGCATTCATTGCTAATGCTATTAATACAATTTTGTAAGCATCACGCGTCGTCAACTGTTAGACTCACCGTCCTTGAACAATAAGAATATTAATTCATTTTAAGAGGAAACTTAATTTATTAAACAAAGAATTTATTAAACGTAGAATATTTGTATGCTAAAATTATTACAAATTTATTGACATAAAGGCTTCCAATATCAAACGTTCTGGGACCATACGCTGCTTTTAATTGAACGTTTCGAACGTGTCATTTTAAAGGTTTATTGTTATTATAAACCTTAAAACACATTTCTTGATATTTTTCAAAATTCAAAATTTCTCAATTTATGTTATGCTTTAGCCGGTTGAAAAATGTGGCAGGAGCGTCGGAGGTTAATTTCTATCAACTGCTTTTGTCCATAAGCCTGCTCAACCAAGCCAAGCCTGCAACATTTTAAGTTTTTCAGTTTTGTCGTTTAGAGGGTGCTTTGAGCTTTCATTACTTTTCACAATTAACTAGCACATCAATGTTGTTTGTAACATGCCCGTTTAATAGTGAATAACATAAATCCCTCAACGCAGAAAACGACACAATTGAATGTTGACGGCTCGTTTTGAATAAACCTGATCATCGATAGACCTGGTTAAGCGCCACGTACAAACAATTATACATGTTACATGTCCGCCTCTTGAAGAAAGTATATGTGGTACCTTCAGTTCCTTCTATACATGCTGTTTCTGAAATACTGTTTAAGCACTCTAAGGATTTGTCGTCTTTCTTTTCTTTTGATGGGTTGTCTGCGATATGAAGGCTTCAAAACTTTTGAACCCTTTTCAAAATTCAATTCTTTAAGTTCCACCCATTTTTATCTGGCAATAGAAACAAGCGTTCATTTGTTTTTCGACCATACGCCGCTATAAAATTACATTGTAACAGGTGCATTCACAATTGTTAAATCTTAAATGTTACTGATTTCGATGCTAATGAGTGTGAACGGTAGGTTGCATCCATAATCGAACCGAGCCTACAACTTGATGTATTGGGATTTAATAAAGGAATGTAATTAATTTTAGAAGTTTCTAGTCGTGAGAATATCCATGTAGTCAATACTATAAGTAAAAACGTTTTTTTAAAAAAAGATCTTTGGGGGTTTTTTGGTTGTTTTTTTTTTTTTGCTGGGACGGTCAAGTTAGTTACACTAAACTTGTGTTAATTTAAATTGCAGAACCTATATTTGCTGATTTACGAATAGCTAACTTCCGGATTCACTTGAAATAAGTTTCAGTTTAATTCTTCCGCGAAAAGTATAACTAGTTTCATTTTCAGCTCTCAGAAGAAATAAATATAAAAAATAAGATGTTTACTTCATACCTTTTAACAGACTTAACCCGCCTACGCAATAAAATACTTAAATAAAATGGTATATTGATAAATTCAACGATCAAATAATGAAGATATAAAATACTTCAGTATATCCGATGTTTGAATTCGTCAAGGGATTACAGTGAAATAACGATTCTATAAATAATTCAATTTACTCTTCAGGTCTAAGGCTGTAAACATGCTAACTGTATTAGATATTTAATTTGCTGGATTTCAAATATGTTTCATTTATTTGAATTTGCATTCTAAAATTGTTTGGACACACATTTTATTCTTACAGTGTTTCAGTATTTATTTTACAAAAATCATGGTAATTTCAGTCGCATGCTGTCATTGTGTATTATGTATTCGAAACAGCAGTTTGCATAGCACACTAAGAGTTTCGAAGTATAATTCAAAATTAAATAGGCTTTTGCGCTAGAATTGGTCATTTTAAAGATATACTATGCTCATCCGTGGAGAAAATATGTTAATCCGAGAAATTTATTGAAATCTATTAAATTCTTACTGATTCTTACCGAATATGTCTAATTTAAATAACAGAATGTATACACTATGTACGGAAAGCTGCGTTCCCAATTACAGACCATATCAAGTTGGTCTTTTCTTTAAAAAATTGAAAGTTTTTATAATGACACTATATATTCATATATTGACAACCTATAGTATGTTGAATTTATAACAACATATCTACTTTGTGTGAAGTCAAAACATGTCTATTTTATATTTACAGAGAGACTGTGTAGCAATTATCAATATTTTTAGATATCAAATTTGAGCATAGTATATCTTTAATCAACGGGAAATAACTGGTAAAAATGTAAAAATTAATAATAACCGCTCCCTGACCGGTGTTTACAAATCTGATACTACGAAAACTAATCCGATCATGTACAAATATTTTTAACTTTTGCTCAACTTTAGGAAATAATATTTAGAACTGATGCTAAGTTTAAGCTTCTGTACAGTTTTTTTCTCTTAGTTTTAAAGAAAACATGATAATAATTTTCGAATTAGTAATAAGGAGATATGTGGTAATTGTGTGTCGAGATGGTTTCATGTCTGTGTTCAGGGCACATTGCTTTCCATAATTGATCTTATATGTCAAATTATTAAGGTTGTTAATAAATGGTAGTATATTTAGCAAAATGAATCTCAGATCGTGTATTCATATTTGACATGAGATGTCGTCGGTTTATCAAATTTTTCCTTTTCTTATTTCTATAGGCTATGCGTGTATGTTTGGTGTAGAAAAAGTATTTATGTTAACTTTTAAGCATACTTGATACGGAACAAAAAACAAATGTAAACAAAGTTTACACAAATGTAAATAAATAAATCTAGTGAATATTTTCTTTTATTGTTATAAATTTCTTTATAAATGTAAAAAAGAAACAGATGCAGCTTCACGTTTGTTATGGTGACTGATTTGTGCCATTCTTATTTTCGCCCGGCGACTTGTTAATCCTCGACTATTCGCAAGATGAAAAACACGTTAATAAGCGAAAGCGCGGGATGAAGTTTTATTTATTAAACTTCGCCCGCGATCCCGCTTATAAGCGTGTTTTCGCCCACGACCCCGCCGTTTATTTATTAAGGTATTACCATCCTAATGCCTTGCCTTCGCTTTGAAGAGTATTCAAATAGGCTAGAACTACTGTTAACTACATTGAATCTGAGGGCCATGGGTTCAAACCTCAGTTAGGTCAACTTTTTTTCTTTTTTTTCTTTTAACATTATTTATGTATCTCTCCATCCATTTTGGGTAGAAAAAAGTGTTTATTTTTTATTATTTAATTTATATAGGTATTTATTGGCTAGATAATGCTAAATATAGTAATAAATATGGAACCTGATATTTTCAAAGTGTAATAAAAACAAAACTAGACGGTAAAAGTATTTAGTATTTTACTAGATCAACCAATATACTTTTTCAAAAATTTAGTGAAACTTTGAAAACAGGCACTCATTCGGGTAAATTTTAAGGATTTTTTTTTAAATTAGGCTCCCTAAGTAGGAAAATGGTCAAACATGTGTTAAAATGGGTGGGGTAGGGTCACATAATTATACATATTTTATAAATTTTGAGTAGAAACCTTAATTTTATGTTAAGTTTATCTTGATTGTTAGCTGAATAGTACTATTTTTTTCTTACCAAAAATTAATGGAAAAACGTTTTTCATTAGAATGTAATTGCAGATTATATAAAGGTTACTCATTTCTGAAAAAGGGTCCTCATACACCCTAGCTTCAGTTCATAAAAGTGGCCATAACTCGATTTCCGTACGGTAAAGTGTGTTTAAATTTTGCATACATGTGTACTTTGAGGTATGTATCTGACCTATGATATAAATTTTTCAGTTCCTTATAGTGCCCGTTAGGGTGGTAATACCTTAAATCTTGCTGCGCGCCCCCGTGGGGCGAAGTGTTTTTTGTGTGTAATACTCCGCCCAGCGCCCCCGCGATTTTTACTTTATAATTCTCGACTTTTCGCTTGGCAGGTCGCGGGGCATAAACTCGAATGACACAAATCAGCCACCGTAGTATGTATATCTGTACGGCATTGATGTTTATTATAAATTTATGTGATAACTTCTTATTAATTTGCATTTTTCCTGGTACTCCAAAGGTAGTTTCATTTTCCGTTTTAAGATCTACATTGTATATGAGTAACATATAAATCATTTATCTGAGCATGCGTAGTTATAACATCGATCATGTGAGATGGAGTTGCTAGCTTGAGTGTTTCCCGGTAGGTTTCTTTATTAATTATATTTCATTTTAATTTTCTTCACAACCGCACTCATTTGTTCTTTTTTTCCATAATATTTTTTTTAATCAATTTGTATTACAAGCCCAATAATTTAATTTTGTTAAGTTTATGACTTAATACAAATTTTATTAAAACTCTGAACGATTTTTTATAGGTTAATTTACACTAGGTCATACCAAAACTTCTTCATATTTTGTGAAACCTTGTAGTTTACACAAACAAATCTGATAAATAGAAACCTACCAGGCTATAAGACATGACAGGCTGGTTAAGATTGAGCCAGTTCATGAACAAGTTCAGTGGTAGCTACTGTCAAGGACCCACGTGTTTAAAATCAGACTTCTTTTTACATTTTTTTTCTATATTTATTATAATAACAGAAATATATATGCGTTTAAAGATTATTTTTTATAAAGTTTTTACTTCAAATTTGTTAAAAAAAACTTAAAGTTGTCTAAACTTTACATAATGAACACTCTGGTATATTTTGCGGCATCTAAAGGTCATATTGTGTTAATGTTACTTATTTTTATTGTCTTATTAATAATATGAAGTTCATCTGTCTTTTCTGAAATTACCCAGTTGTTTTCTATTCTTCCATGCTGTCTTTTTTGAAGACGATGTCTTATCGTAATCGATGACTATATTAAATAAATTAATTTTGATCTTATCATATTCTGTCTTAAATTTTATAAAACAATTAAAATAGAAAAACAAAATAAAATACATAAAACATGGGCAAACATTGAATAAGCGTGTTAATATTCCAATTAAAAGGTCTTTTGTACAATATCCAATATTAAATATCCAACATATTAAAGAATACAAAATGATAATATGGTATAAACAATGTTGATTTATGACTGATTTCGCTAAACTTAATAAAATATTTGAGTTAAGGTATATTTACATAGTGATCAATTTTAAGGTACACGGAAAATCTGTATTAAAATGTCTGTTAACGTCTTGATAAACATAGATTTTTAGCGGGGTTGATACTCTCGGTGCCTTAATAGGCGGATGTACCCTCATTTAGCCTATAATGCATACTATTTATAAGCGGCTTATGCATCTGCAGAACTAACTTAACCTTTGAAAATTCAACTGAATATTGTAGAATCGTAATTTTTTTTTCTTTTCAAATATTATAAATATACGCTAACTCAGTGCATGCGTACTTTAAATATTATAGTGAAATATAGTTCAATTCAATACATTTGAACGAAATCAGATATAAAATGGTTAGTAATTCAGTACTTTGCTATGTATTTTCTGTTCATTGATATTACAGCCGCCCCCGCCCCCTCCCCTACTCAAATCAAATCTAGTTGAATGACTTAACAATAATATACAAGTGATTTTGACTGATATATGAACGCAATAAAATCAAATTCTCCAGGAATAGATAGGTTTGCACCTAACACGTTTTAAAAGCGAGTTTTCTTTCTTTCTTTTTTTTGTGTTAATATCGCATTTATTGCTAATGCTATTAGTACAATTTTGTAAGCATCACGTGTCGTCAACTGTTAGACTCACCGTCCTTGAACAATAAGAATATCAATTCATTTCAACATTTTAAGAGGAAACTTAATTTATTAAACAAAGAATTTATTAAACATAGAATATTTGTATGCTAAAATTATTACAAATTTATTGACATAAAGGGTTCCAATATCAAACGTTCTGGGACCATACGCTGCTTTTAATTGAACGTTTCGAACGTGTCATTTTAAAGGTTTATTGTTATTATAAACCTTAAAACACATTTCTTGATATTTTTCAAAATTCAAAATTTCTCAATTTATGTTATGCTTTAGCCGGTTGAAAAATGTGGCAGGAGGGTCGGAGGTTAATTTCTATCAACTGCTTTTGTCCATAAGCCTGCTCAACCAAGCCAAGCCTCCAACATTTTAAGTTTTTCAGTTTGGTCGTTAAGAGGGTGCTTTAAGCTTTCATCACTTTTGACAATTAACTGTCACATCAGTGTTGTTTGTAACATGCCCGTGTCATTTAAATAGTGAATAACATAAATCCTTAAACGCACAAAACGGCATAATTGAATGTTGACGGCTCATTTTGAATAAACCTGTTCATCGATGGACCTGGTTAAGCGCCACGTACAAAAATTATACATGTTACATGTCCGCCTCTTGAAGAAAGTAAATGTGGTACCTTCAGTTCCTTCTATACATGCTTTTTCTAAAATACTGTTTAAGCACTCTAAGGATATGTTGTCTTTCTTTTCTTTTGATGTATTGTCTGTGATATGAAGGCTTCAAAACTTTTGAACCCTTTTCAAAATTCAATTCTTTAAGTTCCACCAATTTTTATCTGGCAATAGAAACAAGCGTTCATTTGTTTTTCGACCATACGCCGCTATAAAATTCCATTATAACAGGTGCATTCACAATTGTGAAATCTTAAATGTTGCTGATTCCGATGCCAATGAGTGTGCAACGGTAGGTTGAACCGAGTCTACAATTTGCCGCATTGGGATTTAATAAAGGAATGTTATTAATTTTAGATGTTTCAAGTCGTGAGAATACCCATGTAGTCAATTAAAATCTACTATCAGTAAAAACGTTTTATAATAAAAAGATTTTTGGGGTTTTTTTGGTGTTTTTTTTGCTGGGACGGTGAAGTCAGTTACACTAAAATTGTGTATATTTAAATTGCAGATCTTTAACGAATAGCTAAACTTTCGGATTCACTTAAAATAAGTTTCAGTTTATTTTTTCCGCGAAAAGTACAACTAGTTTCATTTTCAGCTCTCAGAAGAAATTAATATAAAAAAATAAGATGTTTACTTCATATCTTTTAACAACCTTAACCCGCCTACGCAATAAAATACTTAAATAAAATGGTATATTGATAAATTCAACGATCAAATAAGGAAGATATAAAATACTTCAGTATATCCGATGTTTGAATTCGTCAAGGGATTAAAGTGAAATAACGATTCTATAAATAATACTCGTATTAAATAGTTTCCTTTTTATTGCAAAATATATTACATTGAGGCGCATGTTATACACACGTCGTTGTTGATCACTAACGGTTCATCGCCCTTGAGAAATTAGCATTTCAGGGGAATAATTTATGAAATGAGATGCGCAATGAAAAAAAAACAACATAATGGGTTTGCGACCAGCATGGATCCAGACCTATGGAAGGGATCATCCGCCACTCTTATTAATATGAATACATTGTAATTAAAATGAAGACATTCTTATTATTTTGAAGACATTCTTATTGATAGGAAGACATTATTATTATTACGAAAACATTGTTATTAATATGAAGACATTATCATTAATACGTTGTAATCATTATGCAATATTAAGATGTACTTGCTGACGTAACTCGAGTTCTTATTGAAATATGCGAACATTCAATTTACACTTCAGGTCTAAGGCTGTAAACATGCAAACTGTATTAGATGTTTAATTTGCTGGATTTCAAATATTTTTCCTTTATTTGAATTTGCATTCTAAAATTAATTTGACACACATTTTATTCTTACAGTGTTTCAGTATTTATTTTACAAAAAAATCATGGTAATTTTAGTCGCATGCTGACATTGTGTATTATGTATTCGAAACAGCAGTTTGCATAGCACACTAAGAGTTTCGAAGTATAATTCAAAATTAATTAGGCTTTTGCGCTAGAATTGGTCATTTTAATCAACGGGAAATAACTGGTAAAAATGTAAAAATTAATAATAACCGCTGTCCTGACGGTTTACAACGAATCTGATCTACCGAAACTAATCCCCGATCTATGTCAAAATCATTTACCTACTTTTTGCTTTCAACTTTGGGAATAAATTTAGATAACTGAATGCTAGTCATGTAGCTCTGTACATTTGTTTTTTCTCTGATAGTTTTTAAAGAAACTATTGATAATGAATTTTCGAATTAGTAATAGGATAAGGTATGTGGTATTGGGCTGTAGTGTCGGAGATGGTTTAAGTCGTGTGTTAAGAAAGCCATTCGTTTGCCGAATATCTGGATCTTTTATCTGTCACAATTATATTTGAAGGTTGTTAATAAATGGAAAATTTAGCATAGACCAATAAATCTCAGATCGTGTATTCTGATAATTTGACATGAGAGATATCGTCGTTTTATCAAAAGTTTTTCTCTTTATATCTTGATTCTTATAGTGGGGGCCTTGCGTTTTGTATGTTTGGTTGTAGCGGAAAATGCATTTATGTTTAAGCTTTTAAGCACTTGATACTTGAAACGGAGAAGAAAAGAAATGTAAATAAGAGGAGTTTAGCACAAATGTAAATTAATGATGATCTAGTGATACCTTCTCTTTTATTGTTCTAGGGAATTTTCTTTATAATTGTAAAAAAGAATTCACGTATGTAATGGTGACTGATTTGTGCAATTCTTATTTTCGCCCCGCGACCCGCCATTTGTAAGCTTGTGTTAAATCTATCTAACTGTTCGCAGGGTGAAAAACACGCTATTAATTTTAGGCGAACTGCGTCAGGAGTGAAGATTTATTTATCAAAACTTTGGCCCGCGAATTCACCGCTGTATTACGTGTTTCCGCCCGCGACCGGAGAACCCACGACGTTCTTATTTATTAATATTCTCGTCTCCGAGCCGCCCGCGGTATTTATAACTGGTTTAATCCCAGGACTCTGTTAAGCTTGCAGGTCGCGGGCATAAAACTCGGAATGACACCAAATCAGCCACCGTAGCTGCTATATATGTACCGGCATTGATGTTTATTTATAAATTTGTGATAACTCTTGTTAATTTGCATTTTTCCTGGTACTCTAAAGTAGTTTCATTTGTACGTCGTGTGTAACGATACTACATTTAGTATATAAAGTTGGATTGTAATTAAATAAGAAATCATTCATCTGGGCATCGCGTAGTTAACATCGACACGTGAGATGAGAGTTGTAGGCTTGAGTGTTTATCGGGTAGTGGTTTTCTTATAATTTATATTGACAACTGTGT